AGTGAACTTATTTAATCGCATTTAACCTATGTATCCTAGCTTAGTTATATAAATAAATGCTTGTTTAGTTTTTAAACCTGTCTCCTGTCTCTGATGTACACCTGCCGACTTACCGACGCACTCCCCCACTCAAATTTTTGCCCTCCTAGCCATCCGACAAGCCGAGAACGGATTTTACCAACCTGTTGCAGAGTAAGTGGTCATTTGGGATGGGCCCAGTGGCCCACTGCTAATCTCACAATAGTTATGTGGAATGAAACGATAGTTGCAATTAATTAAAAATAGTGTAATTAATGCAGAAAATTCGATGCAAAATTAATATTACCCGAGAATCTAGATTTTATAATTTACTTTTAACAAAATTTTATAAATTTGTTCGACATTCATTTTGTAAAACATACGAAATTGGAGAAGAAACTTTTTTCTGTTAAAGTGTTATAACACCAGTTCCTCGAGATTCTATTGTTCTTGCATGAGATTCGCACCAATCAGTGTCAAATTATACCCAAGCCTCCAACCGTTCCGGATCACCCGCGAACTCATTCTTTCTTCTATGAAAAAGGCTTGAAAATAATGTTAGAAAAACTTTTTAAAGAAACTCATACTTTGTGCATTGTTCTCCAAATCTGGAAACCATTACAAGGAATATTTCTTTACACCCATTTTAATACAGGAAAGGGAAAGTTTGTCAGTGACCCCAACCTTTGCCTACGGTCACCGTTCAGTACCCAACCTCCACTTCCTCCTGCCGCCTACTTGTATGTTTTCGCTTTTCTAGATTTATTCGCCACTACATGGGGGTAGCTCCAACTGCTCTGTGCTAATCACTTCGACTTCCGTCACATGTCGGAAGTGTAGATATTTTGTTTTGACAGTTTTAATTGCAGCAGTTCTGCAGTTAAAAATGAGGTCACCCTGACACAGGATTCTCCCTCATAATATTTGTCGCCCGTGTAGAAGAGAGTGACAGTGCGGCAAAATTTCTAAACTTCCGGCGCACATAGAAGAAAAAAGAAGAAATTCAAAAAGATAGGGAAATATCACCTATTTAAAAAATATTTGTGAAATTATTAAAAGGTATATAATATTTAAGTTATTTTGTAAAACTCTCTCTATATATATATCCAAAAATTATTTAAAATTTGATGATGCCAACTGTTATCATACGATCCCCATTAACTATCGAACCTTTAACCATCAAAATTTAATAGCATCAATGCACCTAATGAAGGGAAAAACACCTAAGAGAAGATCGAAGAAGAGGTGGATGAACAAAACAGCTGAAGACCTAAGAAAAAGGACTGACGATGTAACAACGGTATTTGCCACACAAGTGATGGAAACGAGGTGGGTTCTAGGAACAATATTTTTCACGTGGGTTTCGTAGCTGCAAACTATGACCTGAGTTAATGACGTGCTAACCCTTGACTTTCTTCTATTATTAAGCTATCATAACTGGTTCCTAGCCGAGAGACAGTTCACATATGCTAAATACTCGTAACTTGATTGGTGGAATGTTGATTGATATATTAATGACGTGGATCGTCTTGACGAACAGGGGGACATGTGTCCGATGAGTACAGGAGAGTAAGACCGAGGCCATCGTTATTCGAGGCCTGGTCGTAAATGTTATGACGTCACAGTACTGGTCACTTCTTTAGCCCATCGTGAAAGCGTTGATCATTATATTATATCCTAATTAAACTAGTTTATTCATATTCACTTACAATTATAAGAAATTATTAATATTTAATAAATGGGGCAACTTTGATAATTTCTATGAATCAAATTGACTATATTAACGAAAAAATATAATGTATAACTAAAGTATATTTACTAATTAATTTGAAAATATTTAAAAATGGCCTATATAATAATCAGTTATGTACTTAATTAAAATATCTCTAAATTTCTTACCTTTATATAATTAATAATCAAAAAAAATGTCTTAACTTTGATAAAGTATATGTATATAAATATCTAAATAATATCCAATTTGATAAACTTATAAAATAAACTGGAAAGACAAGCTTCAATATATCCAACACAACGTTGTCCAGTAAACTATTAATTAATTCTTTGATTGAATACAGATTGTTGATATACGAGAATATCGTAAATCGAGAAAATGAAGATAAAAGAAGAGTTAGAAACAAAACATTCGGACTGTACAATTGAACGAAACGAAGAAAACATTGAAGTTGATTTAAAGAATTTTAAGAAACAATTCAATACAGATGTGAAGTGTTATAAAACAATTAAATCGGAACGGAAGGTGAGTAAAAATACTTTTCTACAAGTAGTGTTGCTTTAACACTTTGTTTACTGACAGAGTTTTGTTCGTTTCACTCCCTTTAAATTTTTTGTTGTATATATCGGAGCGTTTTTGACAGTGCTGGCTGTTGGCGTGTTTTCTTACGACTTACTGCTACGATCCACAATTCAACTGTTTACCATTAATTAAATTTATTGAGGATGTCTTTTTTATTGTAATAGTTTCTTTTTTAATTTTGTTCGTTTTTACTTACTATTAGAAGAGTTGAACTTAATTTAGATTTATTTTCTCGTACTCCATCTTCTCCTCACAATAAAGCTTCGACTTCTGCTGGTAAACGTCGTCGATCTCCAGGCGAATCAATATTGAAATCATTTCAAATTTTTAAGAAGATTCTGTATTTTCTTGAAGAATGTTTTGACACTACTCTAATTGTCAACGAAATTTGACTGGTTGTCTAATTTACATAAGGAGTACGATGAACGTCTAACCCGACTGGAAGGGGAAGTTTTTGAACTTTCGAGTTTTAGAAGTGTATGTACGGATAGTTTTTCTCTTCATAATTATTACATAGACTCTGTATACAACGATAAAGATTCGAAGAAAAATAACATTATCTTTTCCGCTTTGAGTGGTAACGACGAAAAATTAGTTGATAATGCTAATGGATTTATTGAGTTGTTTAAAAAAACAGAACGGGGAGTCTATTCCTTTCTCGGATCTGGTCGAGCCCGAGATATGATGGGCCGTGATTTGATAAATAATGTCTGACGTATCCGAACGGACCAACTTCCAAAAATTTGACATTTTTCGGCCCGTTCCGATTCAGTTCCGGATTCCATAGGAATGTTGGCTATCTCCATAACTGACTCAAGATGAAATTACAATCTCATCTATATATGGTCATCTGATTGTAATAAATATCTGAGGAGGATGGTGGTATGATACAACATGCTTTAAAGTAGCTTTAAGTAAGAGGAATTTGCAGTATCACTGTGGGTGGGGAATGTTATGGTAACGAAAAAGATAAAGAAACTCTTTACGTATCAGCCTTTGAAATGAAAATTCGACGAAAATTATAAAAAAATTTTCTACAAATGAACTTTACTATGAGTTAAAGAAAAAATATATTACTATTCTTTTTCTGAAATTTGATAAAAATACAATGTAATAATTTCGCAGGTTTTGTCAAATAATTCGAAATGTATTCTGTAAAATAAAAGCGCACTTTTATGCTCATTTTATAATATAAAGGTTTGAATATGTATATTTTTCGTTACTCCTGCGTTTTTTTGTAGATATCACATTTGACAATTTACAGATTTTTATTAATCTCAGTTGTAAGTGAAGATTTACAATTCCAAAATCCTCCGGCGTGTGATTTTCTAATTATATCTAAACTAGAATTGAGGTAAAAACTCAACGAAATTTCACCCGATTTTTATCAAACTTGGCCATTAATACAACAAAATGAGTGAAGTTTCTGGTTATATTTGGAAAAAATCCATTAAACGTTTATGTAATTATCGGAAATAAAAATCTAAAAAGTCACTAAAATCTATATTTATGTGAATAGATGACGACACAGTGCTCTGATAGTTGAACAACAACCCTGCCGCGTCATTTGAGGTATACCAGTGATGCGACAAAAGAGGCATTTCACGTTAACCGGTATCGGCACCCTCGCAGTTTGGCAATCAGCGTGCATGCACGCACTGCACAGGTATGTACAGTACTGTACAACCACCACACATTTTATTTCACCAAGTAAGCTAGCGATTCATAATGTAATTGTGATATTAAAAATACATTTAGAGAAGTCTACTGTTTTTACTGGCTTATCGAACAAACGAATACGAATGGACCCTAGACCACAGCGGTCTGCAACCTTTCTGACCTCATGGACCACTAAACTCACGATTTTGAATTCCGCGGACCACTTTCATAAACTTTTTTAAACGATACAAAATCTGTAGAATAATGATTATAAAAGTTCAATTTTACTATATTAATACGAAATTCGCTTGTTTAATTATAAAAATTAATGCAACCCTAAAGTTCGTTGCTGCTTGTTTGAAATAAGTTTACGGATTCTTAGCGCTTTTCTACCAAGGACGAAAATCGCACTCACAATATTGTTTATTATTCATTATTTATTGATAACAGTCACTTCGTATTTGGTTTTAGATTCAAATAAAAACCCTCAATGAATGAGAATTTTGCATTTCTTTCGTAATATTTCGCGTAACCTTCTGTTGATCATAGTCCAAATTTTTCCACGGATCACACAAATTTTCTCGTGGACCATCTGTTGCCGACCGCTACCCTGACGTGCAATTAACCGATTACCCCTGGAAGTCGGCTCCTTACAGAAACACAGCTTCCCTGTCATCAAATGTCATGCACGCCACTGATATATACTATATTTAATATATAATAAACAAATTTATAAATAAAAAGATATTACATCACTTAAAGGTTCAAGAGAACTTGTACAGAACTTCCAAACTGAAATAAATTTTCTTCTTCTTAGACAAATTCTTCGTTTCCGATTAATGATAAGACATTTTCTTCAAGATCTGTTAATGGTGAAGTAATTTTTTCCTTCCACCTGTTGTAAAGATATCTTTTCTTAAAGCGCCACTTTACTTTTAGTTCGGGAACGCCAGTGACTCCATCTTTTTTTCATGGTTCCACTTCGATCAGTAGACCATTGTCTAGACAGTTCACTTTATCTCTTACTTCTTGCCGTCCGTCCCTCAAAGTATATTTGGAAATATTTCCTTCCAATTCTCCTATAACTAGATATGGACATTTTTGCAACTCAATTATCAAACTTCCATCTGTTCCGAGGATAACGTAATTCGAGACATTTTGATTACTTCGTGCCCTATGTTTTCTTATTCTGCATTTTCGAAAATTGTACAATTTCATTGGTTAAAATTTTATACCGTGTTGCGCGTGCAGATAACCCGAAAATGTATAATCAACCGAACAGAATCGTGACATCACCAACAAAGGCGAGATCGTTACAAAGGACCAGAATCGCCACTCTCGTTTTGACGTCATTCGTCGAAGAGACGAGAGATAGGTTTATCAGGCGCAAACCCACGACCAACAGACAATTAATTACCAGTGTTGAAGCTTTACGCATTCGGCGGACATTGGTGAGTGCAACCAGAAAAAAAAATCATCACATAGTTACATAATAGTAGAAGAAATTTATTATAAAATNGTTAATATTTAACTATCAAGCTATCGATTATGATATAAACCAGAAAATTTTTATATTTTAAAGATGTGATTAAATAGGCATAATTTATTTTTAATTTCTTACTGTAAACATTCATAAGTGCGTTTTAAAAACAATACTATTAACCACATAACACGTGATTTTATAGCTGCAGTGTCACGTGTGCTGGACACGTGTCATCACCCGCGTTTCTTCCGTTAACCTTGAGGATGCACGCCTTAGAACCGGAACAATAGTAATAAGTTTACTCGTCTTTCTTTGTTACTTGCACTAAATTTCGAATGAACATTAATTAATTAATTAATTCTTTGATTGAATACAGATTATTGATACACGAGAATATCGTAAATCTAGAAAGTGAAGATATAAGAAGAATTAGAAACGAAACATTCGGACTTTACAATTAAACGAAACGAAGAAAATTTTGAAGTCGATTTAAAGAATTTTAAGAAAGAATTCAATACAGATGTGAAGAGTTATAAAACAATTAAATTGGAACGGAAGGTGAGTAAAATACTTTTCTGTAAGATTGCATTATCGCTTTAATGACGAGAAACACAAATGAAATGCTAAAATATTAAGTGGGAAATGGGAAGACATATATCTTCTAAACAGTATATTTGCATAAATAATTGCCCTGCGAGCTTTAAACATTTTCGATGTCAAAACAAAGTCATTTTGGATGTTTTTTTTAAATGAAATTTGACGTTTTGGCCAACGTGTTCGTTTTAGAGAGGATAACCCGTTTTTGCTGAAGGGGTTTTGTGGTTTCACTGTGTTTAAAATTTTTTATCTTTTTGTGTATACGGGGGGCGTTTTTGACAGTGTTGGCGTGTTTTTTTTACGACTTACTGCTACGATCCACAATTCAACTGTTTACCATTAATTGACTTTATTGAGGATGTATTTTTTACTGTATAGTTTCTTTTTTACCTTAGTTTTTTCTTTACTTATTATCGGAGGAGTTAAACTTAATTTAGGTCTAATGTCTCGTATAGCATCTTTTGTAAACGTCGTCGAACTCCAAGCGAATCAACATTGAAATCAACTCGATTGGACGATTATTTTGTATAGCAGGATTTTTATTTCAAATTTTTCAGAAGATTCTGAGTTTTCTTAATGAACGTTTTTATACTATTCTATCGAAACTGGAAGGATTGTCAACGAAATTTGACTGGTTGTGTAATTAACAAAAAGTGTATGACGAACGTCAAACCCGGTTGGAAGGAAAAGTTACCGAACTTCCGACTTATAAAACTGTATGTATAAATAATTTTTCTCTTCAGAATTATTACATGGACTCTTTATACAATGATTCGAAGAAAAATAACATTATCCTTTCCTGTTTGAGTGGTAACGACGAAGAATTAGTTGATAATGCTAATGATTCTATTGAGTTGTTTAAAAAATAGAACGTGGGGTCTATTTCTTTTATTAACAGTTATGGAATATCTAGAACTCGGCTTGTATCGNCACCAAAATTTTAAAGTCACATACAGCATATACATATAGGCTATATATATATATATATATATAAAATTTGATCTTTACGTAAGCATTTAACAAATAAACTTGTTACTTACTTTGTGCGCTCGTATCATTCCTGTTAGAGTTTCTGTCGGGAATGAAAAATTCGTTCTTCACAGGCTAAAGAATTTAGAAACAGAAAAGAACAGAAAAAAAAACATGTTATACTGGAAAATAATTATGTAAATTATAAATGTGTTGTTGTGCATTAGAAAAGTGCATTAAAACTAAATTATTTCTTACATATTTTGTACAAATTATTAATTTTTTTCGGTTTGATTTACGGTTGAATAAGGGAGTGCGACATGTGGGCAACCTGCTGAAAGGGGGTGTTTACGGAAGTGTTTCTAAGGAAAACTGGCCCCTGTCTGAGTGTTGCGAAAAAAGTGAAGAAACTCGGAAAATTCTCCCATTGACCAGGAGCGAAACCACAACCAACAACCAACAGTACTTTTATCAAGACTCAGGGTTCTCCGAGGAACCGTGGGATTGGAGCACACGTGTTATAATTTTTTAATAAATGTCAGACAAGGAAAATTTCAGCCTCTCGTAAAACGAAAAAAATAATAATAATTTGAAAAACGAGACGTTTTAACGAAGGAAAATTCTTGTACGGCAAGAAAAAAAAAAAACATCATTGTTTAAACTATCAGTGAAAGTCTCAAAGTTCGATCAACATCCTTTGCTGACAGCCGAGATAAGGCGTCAGATGAATGCCAAAGATTGACCTTTCTCGGCGTCCAATCTGGTCTCATTTCACTGGAAAGAAAAAAGTAACCAATCGAAAAAGGAAATTCGAAGATATAATTCTTTAAACACCCCGAATTTCAAAAACAAATTCGGATGTTCCTCTTTTCAATTCACAGTTTCACTTCTCTCGACATCGCTGATTTACTCGAAAAGAAATCGTTCGAGAAGGAACACACTTTATAATATTCTGTAAAGCATCCACTTCGGCTCAAAATGAGCGAGTTATATTGTTAAGATATTCCACCATATTCTCTACCATCATTCATATGCCGTCCCTTATCACTCGTTTATCTTGATTTCAATTGTCCTCTCCCCTTATCTTCCATCATTTCGGCAACTTCACAATCGTTTATTTTATAATAAATATGTTCATATTATTATAAACTTAAATTATCCGAATATTTACCACAATCGCTTTTCTGATTTTACTCCTTTAATATAATTTTAGTGTCTTACAAATTCGAGGACGAACTGACTATCAAGTTACCATTTCACCACGTGTCTTGGTCTGTTCATGGCTCGATAAAGCCCTGGATGAGTTTGAAACAAACACTCGCCCCCACCAGTGGGCGAGTGGTCTCCGTTGCCGCTCATAGCGGTGACCAGACCCTAAACACTGGGACCCACCAGTGGGCGAGTGGTCTCCGTTGCCGCTCATAGCGGTGACCAGACCCTAAAAACTGGGAAGTTCGGTCGTGTGTTCGCGCCGCGATCGGACAGGCTGGCTGCTTGGAGTTTTCCGGGTTTTCTCCTTGCCAATAACGACTGAATAGGAGGCCAGTTCCCCATAAAAGTCCTTCCGGAAGGCATTATTTCCCGCGCGTACGTATAGGCCGTTCGGATACGGCCGGCAAATCGGTCGCATAGCGATCATACACACACAAGTCTACTCGGAGAAAGAGCCTACATTGAGCTAAAATCTCCATATAAACAACACCGAAGAAGAAGAAAGAAAAGAAACGAACACTCAATGTTTTTATCTCTCGGACTTTTATCGTGAGGAAAACCATAAAATTACGACTGTTTTTTAATACAGAATACACAAAAACTTACAGCATAATTGTATAAAATTAGTTTTATATTTACCTTCTTTTTCGATATAATGCACAGAAAGTATTATGCAAATTAACTTATAAAATGTGTAAAGTATTTAAAAGTTTGTATCACTTACCTTTAAATCTTCGTATTCGTATTCAGTTTTCACTTTAAAATTCAATCTTTTCAAAACGACTTTGCATTCTGATTTTATGTCATTTTTAGTGTCACATTTCTCCTTTTTTATTTCTTTATTCTTACAATCTGTATTAGAATTTTGCAGTGTTTTAGTTTTAAAAAAAATTCTAAGCAAATAATTGAAATAAATAAATAAAACTGACTTTAAATTTAATAATTTTAAATACTAAATGCCTTAATTTTCAGTACAGAATGAATTTTTTTAAAAATATTATAGGTTAATCATGAGTAAAATCGTCATTAATTTCCGACCCTACACAAGATATGACACACGATTCTCCCTTTATCTCCCACTCTCTCGACGTTTATCTACCAAATTTTAATAGCGTCAATACCCGAAATACATAAACATACCTTTTAAAGTTTCAGTAAATTTTGAGTATGTAATTTTTTAATAAAGAAAGAGGTCCCTATAATATTTACTTGTCACAATACTTAAACTGAGCCCCTGTCACTAAGACAAAAGGCAGGGATAGCCAGTTTGTTTTTATCGTGGATATTTTGGCTGAAATTTGTAAAAATTGTAGACTTTTAAATTCCTACCTGAAAAGTATTACATAGATGACAAACACACTGTATTGTTAAGGGAAAGGTATGGTGTACATTCTTGCTAAAAGTAAGCTTGGCGCTTCGAATCGAATGTAAAAAAAAAAAAAAAACAATAATACGTGCTAAAATCTTGTAAATAAGCATGATATTATGAAAAAAAATAAAATATCTATACGGGGAAACAAACCGTAGGAACTTTGACCTTTCGACCTGGAAGTTTCACTAGCAACTCACCGATAACGAAAGATGATTTGTTTAAAATTTAATCTTTTTAAACCCGGCAAATTAACTTCGTCACACAATACTTTATCACTTTTTTCGTTAAGATAAATCACGGTTAGATAGTAAACACGTGTAATTACTGTATATGCTGAAATTTACTGTCACGTATAGGGTAATACCTGTTCAAACCGAAAACCTGCATAAACAGCAAGAATTCTTCAACATACAGCTATTTTCTATGATTAAATAAACCTGATAAACCGGAAAAATGTTCAGTTTACTCAGGTTTTATTGTATTTTGTTTCTTCTATTCTGTTTTATTAAAAAGACCACTATTTTGTTTTCTATAATAATAAAACACTAGTTTAAAAAGAGATTTTTTTTCTGTTTTAGGATACTGATAAATTGAATTGAGAGCTTTAACTCTATCAACACCAAATATCTATAATATTAAAATATATTTAATTTCATATGCACCGTGTATAAAATATTTGCAATGTTTATGAAATATTATCAACTTAACTTTTATATAAATATGAATTTATTTATATTTAGGTTTTAACTCTTTTTATAATCAATAGAAACATATTTTTATACCGTAAGAAGTATGAATTCTCTTACCTATTTCGCTATTACAATAAGAATTACTCCAAATATTAGAATCGCTTGTGTTATTTGTTAAAATTAAATTTTCATAAGTATTTACCTGAAATAATTGAAAAAAAAATTCTGTTTTATTATTGGACAAGTTAATCTTTATACAAAAAATAAATAAAAATAGTATTTAAACTAAAACATAAAATTCCGTTTACTTAATTAAAATCTGCAGCATTTTCATACGTTTTTCTGCTAGAACCACATTTCTTTACTCAAAAGGATCCAAAGTATAAAAAGTTTAAATAAATTCCTTGTAAATTATTCTCACATAGTATTTGTATGATATAAAACATACAAAATACACCCGTTCTTATTAACTATTTAATTGTATTTTTCGGTTATTTGTAATTAGAATAAATGCCGTTCTGGCTTACAATAAATGTGACATTTAGGAGCTCTCCCATTGTTCCAGTTTGTCTAAGTTTCCGTAATTTGTTCCTTTCTGTGGACGTTTAAATAAATGTTATCCCCGTTAATCCTTTATGACTTCACGAATAATAATACAATAAGTAGAAAATAAAACATAGAAGAAACTTTGAAATAAATATAATAAAATGCATAGACTGTATAAAATTTAATTAATAAAATAAACGAAACTATACTAAAGATCAACCTTTTTCCTCCCCTTCAGTTCCCGAAGGAAAATGTCTGAAATCAACACTTTACGTAGGATTTTCCCGATTCAAATTTGCCCTGGTTCCATGAAATTATAACGCACTACTGTTTATTTGTTTGTCTTATGGATTACAATAGAACAGGGGTTCACAATGTCGTATTGTGTTTTCTTGTACATAAACATTTTACCTCAAAATCGGTAATCCGAATAAAAACCAACAAAGATTAGGTAGAAGTTTGTTATCGAAGTAAGGAGAAATGTAAATGCTTAATATGCAACAGTGTTGTGTCAGTGACAAACAAACACAATGTCGAACGTCATTACAAAAACTAATCACAATTGTTATGAGGTTAAAATAATTAACAAAATTCGAGCAAATCTTCCAACGTTGAAGATTGTTTACGATTGGGATTATCATGTTACACTCGCAACTGTGAGAAATTAGCAAATAAAATGCAGTGTCAAAGATCGCATTAATTAAAATTGTAACGTTTTCCATCGTAGTAATAAATTTAAGTAAATAAACTTCATTTTAAAATTTTGGAAGGCGTGAAGTAAACGTAGAAGCTTTGTAAATAACGCTTTTAAAGCAAAACTAGAATCGTAGAATAGCACCGATAAATGTCACATGACAGCTTCGTACGCGTCCGCCGTTCGATGTGCCGCTCCGCGACGAAAACAAGTTTAAGCAAGGAATTTTCGAACGGTGCACACTCGGTAAGTATTCCTACAATTTTTTGTTTATAGCATATTTTATATGGATTATTCCAAAAAAATTATACGTATTTTGGAAATGTTCGAGTCACGTTAGTCTAAAATCGATTAATTTTAAGAAAGAAAACCTTTCAAACAGCCGTACCCCTAAACTGCACAAGTGCCTACAAAACGTACATTTTACTCACCTGTATATTTTTATGTTCTAAAGGTTCTGATTTAATTCTTCTACAAAATGTTTTGGTATCCGTATTAAATTCTTTCTTGTAATTCTTTAAAAGAAACTTTTCATCACCTCGGTTAAATATAAATTCTGAACATTCATTTTCTGGCTCTACTTTTATCTTCATTTTCTCAGTTTAAAATATTCTCGTATGTCAAGAATCTGTTTTCAATGAAAGGCTTTAAAACCGTCGAGTTTGAATTGAGATTTGTTTAAATAAATAAATAAAATTCGTATAATAGCAAACACTTACTTCTCCTGCTTGAATTACATCAATCTATATCAATTAATAAATATCCACAATAATTTCACTGAAATTTTAAAGCGAGTAACAAAGACAAACTCAGAGAGAGTAAACAAAAAGGTGCACACTCAAGGTTAATGCGAGAAAGTCTAGGGGTAACACGTCACCAACTCACGTGACAGTTTGTAGCTAAGAAACCCACGTGATATATGGCAAACGATTATTCTTAAAACCCTCCTCGTTTCCATCACTCGTATGGCAAACACCGTTGTTACATCGTCAGTCCTTTTTCTTGGGTTTTGAGCTATTTTGTTAATCTACCTCTTCCTGGGTCTTTTTTCTTTTATTAGGAGCATTGATGTTATTAAATTTCCATCCTTTAAGGTCGACGGTATGGAGAGTTAATGGGGTTCGTGTGTANTTGGTCGTATGTCCTGTCGGTCCGGAGTATGGAGACAAATATGGCACATTTACTAAGTATAACTTCCGAGGGATCGCCCGGAGCTTTCGGAGACTCGAGCTTTTATACGTTATTCGTGGGAAATGAGTCACGTGATCGACTTCTGTTGACACTTACCGTGCATTCCGATCAACTAACTGTCAACTTTCCCACCTTAATGTGAAAACAATCGGTGTACTTCTCACCAAAAGTGGGTTTTCCCCATCGGAGTTGTTTACAAAGATTTTCCGACATCGGCGTAAAAATCGCGGATTTCACACTATTAATGATTATTTTAGTGTTGTTCGCACAAAATATAATCAAATTTTAATTTTTTTTTCATTTTTTTCTTAGTAATTTAATTCATTTATTTTATAAATTTACCTGCTTTTTAAATTTTAACTTTTAATTATAAGAGAGTTAATATTTAACTATCAAGCTATCGATTATGATATAAACCAGAAAATTTTTATATTTGAAAGACGTGATTAAATAGGCATAATATAATTTTTAATTTTGTACTATAAACATTCATAAGTGCGTTTTAAAAACAATACTATTAACCACATAACACGTGATTTTATAGCTGCAGTGTCACGTGTGCTGGACACGTGTCATCACCCGAGTTTCTTCCGTTAACCTTGAGGGTGCACGCCTTAGAACCGGAACAATAGTAATAAGTTTACTCGTCTTTCTTTGTTACTTGCACTAAATTTCGAATGAACATTAATTAATTAATTAATTCTTTGATTGAATACAGATTATTGATACACGAGAATATCGTAAATCTAGAAAATGAAGATAAAAGAAGAATTAGAAACGAAACATTCGGACTTTACAATTAAACGAAACGAAGAAAATTTTGAAGTCGATTTAAAGAATTTTAAGAAAGAATTCAATACAGATGTGAAGAGTTATAAAACAATTAAATTGGAACGGAAGGTGAGTAAAAATACCTTTCTATAAGATTGCAGTGTCGCTTTAAAGACGAGAAACACAACTGAAATGCTAAAATATTAAGTGGGAAATGGGAAGACATATATCTTCTAAACAGTATATTTGCATAAATAATTGCCCTGCGAGCTTTAAACATTTTCGATGTCAAAACAAAGTCATTTTGGATGTTTTTTTTAAATGAAATTTGACGTTTTGGCCAACGTGTTCGTTTTAGAGAGGATAACCCGTTTTTGCTGAAGGGGTTTTGTGGTTTCTCTGTGTTTAAAATTTTTTATCTTTTTGTGTATACGGGGGGCGTTTTTGACAGTGTTGGCGTGTTTTTTTTACGACTTACTGCTACGATCCACAATTCAACTGTTTACCATTAATTGACTTTATTGAGGATGTATTTTTTACTGTATAGTTTCTTTTTTACCTTAGTTTTTTCTTTACTTATTATCGGAGGAGTTAAACTTAATTTAGGTCTAATGTCTCGTATAGCATCTTTTGTAAACGTCGTCGAACTCCAAGCGAATCAACATTGAAATCAACTCGATTGGACGATTATTTTGTATAGCAGGATTTTTATTTCAAATTTTTCAGAAGATTCTGAGTTTTCTTAATGAACGTTTTTATACTATTCTATCGAAACTGGAAGGATTGTCAACGAAATTTGACTGGTTGTGTAATTAACAAAAAGTGTATGACGAACGTCAAACCCGGTTGGAAGGAAAAGTTACCGAACTTCCGACTTATAAAACTGTATGTATAAATAATTTTTCTCTTCAGAATTATTACATGGACTCTTTATACAATGATTCGAAGAAAAATAACATTATCCTTTCCTGTTTGAGTGGTAACGACGAAGAATTAGTTGATAATGCTAATGATTCTATTGAGTTGTTTAAAAAATAGAACGTGGGGTCTATTTCTTTTATTAACAGTTATGGAATATCTAGAACTCGGCTTGTATCGCTCGAGCTTCATACTCAAGCTGATAAAAGGTTTATTTTTAAAACTTTAAAGAAAATTTAAACGTTGTCGTCTTTCTCGTGCATTACAGTTTTTGATGATTTGTCGTATAGATCAAGACTTAGACGTAAAAAATTGTTGCCATTTTTATTCGAAGAAATGCTTTCTTTGAATAAAAAAGCTTATCCGAAAGCCGATTGCTTGACCGTCACTTACAATTTAGAAATGAATGAACTACAGAAGATTCAATGTAGGCTATATATGTGTGTGTGTAAGCATGTATTTCGCTTAATTATAAAGGAGTGAAGATAAAGTAACGAAATTGGGCACGGTGGCTTGAATGTAAAAGACATTGATGCTGTTAAATTTTGGTTATTGAAGTTCAAGAGGATGGAGAGATAGAAAGTGGTCACGTGTTATATCTGGCGAGTAGTCAGACTTAATTAAGATTTTACTTGTTAGCATTTACAGTGTTTTACAAAACACATTTCTAACTTCAAAATGTAGTCTTTTGCTATTTTATAAAAATTAAAAATATATAAAAGTTTAAGAACAAAATCTCGTAATAGCTGACAAAACATACAATTTTATTGATTTATTATGGATTAATAATTAAAAAATGGTTTTTAAAATAAAATATAACAGCAGAAGTTACGCAACTCCTTGCTAAATTTTTTATTATGTCAAGATCAGTAACTGTAATACAATGGTTTAGACAAGTTACGAGTTATTTAGAAAAGTTTTTTAGTTTGATTGTTTCCTTTCATACATAATATTTTGNATTCAATCTTTTCAAAACGACTTTGCATTCTGATTTTATGTCATTTTTAGTGTCACATTTCTCCTTTTTTATTTCTTTATTCTTACAATCTGTATTAGAATTTTGCAGTGTTTTAGTTTTAAAAAAAATTCTAAGCAAATAATTGAAATAAATAAATAAAACTGACTTTAAATTTAATAATTTTAAATACTAAATGCCTTAATTTTCAGTACAGAATGAATTTTTTTAAAAATATTATAGGTTAATCATGAGTAAAATCGTCATTAATTTCCGACCCTACACAAGATATGACACACGATTCTCCCTTTATCTCCCACTCTCTCGACGTTTATCTACCAAATTTTAATAGCGTCAATACCCGAAATACATAAACATACCTTTTAAAGTTTCAGTAAATTTTGAGTATGTAATTTTTTAATAAAGAAAGAGGTCCCTATAATATTTACTTGTCACAATACTTAAACTGAGCCCCTGTCACTAAGACAAAAGGCAGGGATAGCCAGTTTGTTTTTATCGTGGATATTTTGGCTGAAATTTGTAAAAATTGTAGACTTTTAAATTCCTACCTGAAAAGTATTACATAGATGACAAACACAACTGTATTGTTAAGGGAAAGGTATGGTGTACATTCTTGCTAAAAGTAAGCTTGGCGCTTCGAATCGAATGTAAAAAAAAAAAAACAATAATACGTGCTAAAATCTTGTAAATAAGCATGATATTATGAAAAAAAATAAAATATCTATACGGGGAAACAAACCCTAGGAACTTTGACCTTTCGACCTGGAAGTTTCACTAGCAACTCACCGATAACGAAAGATGATTTGTTTAAAATTTAATCTTTTTAAACCCGGCAAATTAACTTCGTCACACAATACTTTATCACTTTTTTCGTTAAGATAAATCACGGTTAGATAGTAAACACGTGTAATTACTGTATATGCTGAAATTTACTGTCACGTATAGGGTAATACCTGTTCAAACCGAAAACCTGCATAAACAGCAAGAATTCTTCAACATACAGCTATTTTCTATGATTAAATAAACCTGATAAACCGGAAAAATGTTCAGTTTACTCAGGTTTTATTGTATTTTGTTTCTTCTATTCTGTTTTATTAAAAAGACCACTATTTTGTTTTCTATAATAATAAAACACTAGTTTAAAAAGAGATTTTTTTCTGTTTTAGGATACTGATAAATTGAATTGAGAGCTTTAACTCTATCAACACCAAATATCTATAATATTAAAATATATTTAATTTCATATGCACCGTGTATAAAATATTTGCAATGTTTATGAAATATTATCAACTTAACTTTTATATAAATATGAATTTATTTATATTTAGGTTTTAACTCTTTTTATAATCAATAGAAACATATTTTTATACCGTAAGAAGTATGAATTCTCTTACCTATTTCGCTATTACAATAAGAATTACTCCAAATATTAGAATCGCTTGTGTTATTTGTTAAAATTAAATTTTCATAAGTATTTACCTGAAATAATTGAAAAAAAAATTCTGTTTTATTATTGGACAAGTTAATCTTTATACAAAAAATAAATAAAAATAGTATTTAAACTAAAACATAAAATTCCGTTTACTTAATTAAAATCTGCAGCATTTTCATACGTTTTTCTGCTAGAACCACATTTCTTTACTCAAAAGGATCCAAAGTATAAAAAGTTTAAATAAATTCCTTGTAAATTATTCTCACATAGTATTTGTATGATATAAAACATACAAAATACACCCGTTCTTATTAACTATTTAATTGTATTTTTCGGTTATTTGTAATTAGAATAAATGCCGTTCTGGCTTACAATAAATGTGACATTTAGGAGCTCTCCCATTGTTCCAGTTTGTCTAAGTTTCCGTAATTTGTTCCTTTCTGTGGACGTTTAAATAAATGTTATCCCCGTTAATCCTTTATGACTTCACGAATAATAATACAATAAGTAGAAAATAAAACATAGAAGAAACTTTGAAATAAATATAATAAAATGCATAGACTGTATAAAATTTAATTAATAAAATAAACGAAACTATACTAAAGATCAACCTTTTTCCTCCCCTTCAGTTCCCGAAGGAAAATGTCTGAAATCAACACTTCACGTAGGATTTTCCCGATTCAAATTTGCCCTGGTTCCATGAAATTATAACGCACTACTGTTTATTTGTTTGTCTTATGGATTACAATAGAACAGGGGTTCACAATGTCGTATTGTGTTTTCTTGTACATAAACATTTTACCTCAAAATCGGTAATCCGAATAAAAACCAACAAAGATTAGGTAGAAGTTTGTTATCGAAGTAAGGAGAAATGTAAATGCTTAATATGCAACAGTGTTGTGTCAGTGACAAACAAACACAATGTCGAACGTCATTACAAAAACTAATCACAATTGTTATGAGGTTAAAATAATTAACAAAATTCGAGCAAATCTTCCAACGTTGAAGATTGTTTACGATTGGGATTATCATGTTACACTCGCAACTGTGAGAAATTAGCAAATAAAATGCAGTGTCAAAGATCGCATTAATTAAAATTGTAACGTTTTCCATCGTAGTAATAAATTTAAGTAAATAAACTTCATTTTAAAATTTTGGAAGGCGTGAAGTAAACGTAGAAGCTTTGTAAATAACGCTTTTAAAGCAAAACTAGAATCGTAGAATAGCACCGATAAATGTCACATGACAGCTTCGTACGCGTCCGCCGTTCGATGTGCCGCTCCGCGACGAAAACAAGTTTAAGCAAGGAATTTTCGAACGGTGCACACTCGGTAAGTATTCCTACAATTTTTTGTTTATAGCATATTTTATATGGATTATTCCAAAAAAATTATACGTATTTTGGAAATGTTCGAGTCACGTTAGTCTAAAATCGATTAATTTTAAGAAAGAAAACCTTTCAAACAGCCGTACCCCTAAACTGCACAAGTGCCTACAAAACGTACATTTTACTCACCTGTATATTTTTATGTTCTAAAGGTTCTGATTTAATTCTTCTACAAAATGTTTTGGTATCCGTATTAAATTCTTTCTTGTAATTCTTTAAAAGAAACTTTTCATCACCTCGGTTAAATATAAATTCTGAACATTCATTTTCTGGCTCTACTTTTATCTTCATTTTCTCAGTTTAAAATATTCTCGTATGTCAAGAATCTGTTTTCAATGAAAGGCTTTAAAACCGTCGAGTTTGAATTGAGATTTGTTTAAATAAATAAATAAAATTCGTATAATAGCAAACACTTACTTCTCCTGCTTGAATTACATCAATCTATATCAATTAATAAATATCCACAATAATTTCACTGAAATTTTAAAGCGAGTAACAAAGACAAACTCAGAGAGAGTAAACAAAAAGGTGCACACTCAAGGTTAATGCGAGAAAGTCTAGGGGTAACACGTCACCAACTCACGTGACAGTTTGTAGCTAAGAAACCCACGTGATATATGGCAAACGATTATTCTTAAAACCCTCCTCGTTTCCATCACTCGTATGGCAAACACCGTTGTTACATCGTCAGTCCTTTTTCTTGGGTTTTGAGCTATTTTGTTAATCTACCTCTTCCTGGGTCTTTTTTCTTTTATTAGGAGCATTGATGTTATTAAATTTCCATCCTTTAAGGTCGACGGTATGGAGAGTTAATGGGGTTCGTGTGTATTTCCATTCGGATCACACTTAATGATGATTTTATTTGTTAATAGCATTTCTAATGATTTAAAAAAACTCAACACTACACACAAGATTAAGCTTGTTGTCGTTTTATAATGTTTTGAAAATATAAAGAGATTTTAAATTAAAATATGATAAAAGATAGAGCCATCAAAATGTCTCTCTTCTACACTTCTACAAAAACAACAATTTCTACCAGGGAAATTCAGGGGAACTGCCCTGTGGGAGGGTGACCTTATTTATAAGCACAGAACTCCTCCAATAAGAACTGTCAAAACAAAGCCCTCTTCTGACATGCGAAGGAAGTTGAACGGTTTATCGCAGTTCCCGAGGTGGTACTGAACGGTGACAATAGACAAAGTTTGAAATCAATTAAAACCTTTCTGTTTCTTGTTTTGAAACGGGTGTGAGGAAACATTGCCTTCAATTATTTCCAAATTTGTTAGTTTCTTTAAAATATTTTTCTAATAATATNTCGTGGGAAATGAGTCACGTGATCGACTTCTGTTGACACTTACCGTGCATTCCGATCAACTAACTGTCAACTTTCCCACCTTAATGTGAAAACAATCGGTGTACTTCTCACCAAAAGTGGGTTTTCCCCATCGGAGTTGTTTACAAAGATTTTCCGACATCGGCGTAAAAATCGCGGATTTCACACTATTAATGATTATTTTAGTGTTGTTCGCACAAAATATAATCAAATTTTAATTTTTTTTTCATTTTTTTCTTAGTAATTTAATTCATTTATTTTATAAATTTACCTGCTTTTTAAATTTTAACTTTTAATTATAAGAGAGTTAATATTTAACTATCAAGCTATCGATTATGATATAAACCAGAAAATTTTTATATTTGAAAGACGTGATTAAATAGGCATAATATAATTTTTAATTTTGTACTATAAACATTCATAAGTGCGTTTTAAAAACAATACTATTAACCACATAACACGTGATTTTATAGCTGCAGTGTCACGTGTGCTGGACACGTGTCATCACCCGAGTTTCTTCCGTTAACCTTGAGGGTGCACGCCTTAGAACCGGAACAATAGTAATAAGTTTACTCGTCTTTCTTTGTTACTTGCACTAAATTTCGAATGAACATTAATTAATTAATTAATTCTTTGATTGAATACAGATTATTGATACACGAGAATATCGTAAATCTAGAAAATGAAGATAAAAGAAGAATTAGAAACGAAACATTCGGACTTTACAATTAAACGAAACGAAGAAAATTTTGAAGTCGATTTAAAGAATTTTAAGAAAGAATTCAATACAGATGTGAAGAGTTATAAAACAATTAAATTGGAACGGAAGGTGAGTAAAAATACCTTTCTATAAGATTGCAGTGTCGCTTTAAAGACGAGAAACACAACTGAAATGCTAAAATATTAAGTGGGAAATGGGAAGACATATATCTTCTAAACAGTATATTTGCATAAATAATTGCCCTGCGAGCTTTAAACATTTTCGATGTCAAAACAAAGTCATTTTGGATGTTTTTTTTAAATGAAATTTGACGTTTTGGCCAACGTGTTCGTTTTAGAGAGGATAACCCGTTTTTGCTGAAGGGGTTTTGTGGTTTCTCTGTGTTTAAAATTTTTTATCTTTTTGTGTATACGGGGGGCGTTTTTGACAGTGTTGGCGTGTTTTTTTTACGACTTACTGCTACGATCCACAATTCAACTGTTTACCATTAATTGACTTTATTGAGGATGTATTTTTTACTGTATAGTTTCTTTTTTACCTTAGTTTTTTCTTTACTTATTATCGGAGGAGTTAAACTTAATTTAGGTCTAATGTCTCGTATAGCATCTTTTGTAAACGTCGTCGAACTCCAAGCGAATCAACATTGAAATCAACTCGATTGGACGATTATTTTGTATAGCAGGATTTTTATTTCAAATTTTTCAGAAGATTCTGAGTTTTCTTAATGAACGTTTTTATACTATTCTATCGAAACTGGAAGGATTGTCAACGAAATTTGACTGGTTGTGTAATTAACAAAAAGTGTATGACGAACGTCAAACCCGGTTGGAAGGAAAAGTTACCGAACTTCCGACTTATAAAACTGTATGTATAAATAATTTTTCTCTTCAGAATTATTACATGGACTCTTTATACAATGATTCGAAGAAAAATAACATTATCCTTTCCTGTTTGAGTGGTAACGACGAAGAATTAGTTGATAATGCTAATGATTCTATTGAGTTGTTTAAAAAATAGAACGTGGGGTCTATTTCTTTTATTAACAGTTATGGAATATCTAGAACTCGGCTTGTATCGCTCGAGCTCCATACTCAAGCTGATAAAAGGTTTATTTTTAAAACTTTAAAGAAAATTTAAACGTTGTCGTCTTTCTCGTGCATTACAGTTTTTGATGATTTGTCGTATAGATCAAGACTTAGACGTAAAAAATTGTTGCCATTTTTATTCGAAGAAATGCTTTCTTTGAATAAAAAAGCTTATCCGAAAGCCGATTGCTTGACCGTCACTTACAATTTAGAAATGAATGAACTACAGAAGATTCAATGTAGGCTATATATGTGTGGGTGTAAGCATGTATTTCGCTTAATTATAAAGGAGTGAAGATAAAGTAACGAAATTGGGCACGGTAGCTTGAATGTAAAAGACATTGATGCTGTTAAATTTTGGTTATTGAAGTTCAAGAGGATGGAGAGATAGAAAGTGGTCACGTGTTATATCTGGCGAGTAGTCAGACTTAATTAAGATTTTACTTGTTAGCATTTACAGTGTTTTACAAAACACATTTCTAACTTCAAAATGTAGTCTTTTGCTATTTTATAAAAATTAAAAATATATAAAAGTTTAAGAACAAAATCTCGTAATAGCTGACAAAACATACAATTTTATTGATTTATTATGATTAATAATTAAAAAAGTAGTTTTTAAAATAAAATATAACAGCAGAAGTTACGCAACTCCTTGCTAAATTTTTTATTATGTCAAGATCAGTAACTATAAAAGAATTGTTTAGAAAAATTTTTAGTTTGTTTGTTTGTAGCTAATATTGCTTCTTTACATGCTTAATGCTACATAATATTTTGAACGTATCCGTCTCTGTGTTTATAAATTTATATTTCAGGTATGTGTAGTTTGAATTATTTAAGCTGTACGAGTTCAAAATATTTTCGAGACTTTTAAGTCACGTAAGTCTTGAAATAGTGGAGATCGCTTTCATTTTCAATTAAGACGTTCTGGAGATTGATGATAATCGAGCCATTGATCATCATAGAATAGAAAAAATGAAATTTTATTCCGTCCGACTTTTAAATTAATTTTTATATATTTAGGTTTTTAAGGAGGATGAATTTAGAGGAGAGAATAAAGCGATTATACGAGCAGAAAGAAAGATACATAATGTATATACAGTTCTTTAAAGTTCAGAGCTCTGTACTCGCCACTAACTCAACCGAAGAGACCTTTTAGATACATTTAGACGTTTTATTAACTTAATTAACAGTATTTTTTGCATTTTTGGATTCATTTTCCTTTTTATTTTCCTTTTGATTTAAACGTTATTTTATAACGTTTTAAAGTTTAACGATATTTATTTTCAATAAGTCGGAACAGGATGAAACGTTTGGAAGTCAGATCAGAAACATGAAACATAATAATAATAAGAAGAAGAAATGAAATATAAGTCGGAACAGAAGGAAAAGTTTGACACGATTCTTATGTATTCTCTTGTTATAATTATGCATTACAATACCCGAAAGTAACAATAGCTAACACTTATTTTAATCGCAAACAACGAAATACAGTTAACAAGCATTATGTATTGCGACATCGTCACAATGACGGGCTGCACTTTCTTATCATATTTTTAATTTATTTAATTTAGAATATATGCTCTCTACCTGTAATTAGTATTGGCTTCCCTCTGTACTGTACATTGCACTTTTTTAGTTAATAATAGCCGTTTCATGCCGTTTACGTATCTAACTTCTTTCAGAGAAAACTTTTTTAAATTAAAATAACATGAATACCGGTTTGCATCGGAAGTTTTTATACAGTTAATCTGGGAACTGTGCCTCTGAGCATATCATATTTTGTCTCTGCTTCCATCTATCTAACTCCTTTCTCGACATTGAGCAAGGGCAGTCAAACAGCTGTTTAGACTGACATCAGTAGGAATTTACGGGTCTATTTATTTTTAAATCGCAGCCTGTAAGATTTATATAACTTGGTTATACATAAAATTTGAAAAAAATTATAGACAAATAAACTCGCAGTGTTGTCCGTGTGACTGTTGTCTTTCTACAATCTCCAGAACAGAGTTAGATAGAAGCCGAGACCAGATATAGAAATTTTAGTGGCAAAAGGCCCCGATAAACTGTATACGTACTGTATACGTAGCTGTAAACCGGGATCCACGTTATTTCGATTCAATGTTTACTTTTAATAGGTGTTAGATAGATGACAGGCACTACTTTTAAACCAAAAGTAGTTAGTAGGCCTTATTTTAAAGATATTTATTCATTAAACATATTTATATGTTTTTATTTATTTATTTATTTATAAAGATCGATTTGTTTGATAATATAACGTAGTATTTAACTATTTCAGATAAATATTAAAGGAAAGCTAATTTCCACTAACAACACAAACGAATCCACTCGTTGGAGTCATTCTGGTTATAAAATCGAAAGAGGTAAGTGGCTTATTACTTGTAATATAAAAGTATGTTTCTACTAAGAAGAAAAATAGATAACACACAAAATTTAATAAAAAGTAAAACATCTGGATACGAGTCCAATTTTTCTTGCCATGTCTAATCACCAGGAACAACTATTTCCATTGCAGAGACAACCTTTCTTTAGAGGCTATGCCTCTGCACAAATATGTAAAACAGTTTAAAATGTCCACAGGTGACAATCCCAACACAATTAAAAATGTAATATTTTTAATTAAATTAAATCCCAACACAATTAAAAATGTAATATTTTTAATTAAATTAAATCCCAACACAATTAAAAATGTAATATTTTTAATTGCCACTTGTGGACATTTTAAACTGTTTTACATATTTGTGCAGAGGCATAGCCTCTAAAGAAAGGTTGTCTCTGCAATGGAAATAGTTGTTCCTGGTGATTAGACATGGCAAGAAAAATTGGACTCGTATCCAGATGTTTTACTTTTTATTAAATTGTAATTCTGCCAGCCCTTTTCTACAAACACACAAAATGTAAATGTTACCTTTATATAACACATTGATATAAATGTAAATGATAACATTCGAAAAACTTCGCGAATACATTGTGTATAACGAATAAGTATTTCAATATAATTTAATATTAACAATAACATTTAATTTAATTGAAGATTTAAAGTTGTCAATTCAATATATCACAATTCTGCAACAGAGAGAATCGTAATTCAGATATTTTAGAGATCAAAAGAGCAATAATTAATTGTAAAGTCGTCACTATACCAAGCGGCAATTTTTAATCACATTTTAAATTTATTTAACTTAAAATAGACGCTCTTAATCTGAATTTGTCATGGTTTGCCCCTCTATATCAAACTTTTCAAGTATCAAGTATTGAATTTTTTTTTTTAATAAATAGCAAAAAAGTATTTTGGTATTTATTTTATTGTTTTAATTGATATATTTCTATGATATTCTAAAAACAATGGGTTCTCCATTAATTAATAGGTGCTTCGACTGGTTGTCTTGTTACTTCTCACAGGCCTTAACTTTTTAAAGTAATAATTTTTTGTATCTATAAATAAAACTCATCTCTACTTTCAAAATTTAGTTTTCTGCCATTTTTTAATAATTAATAATAGAAAACTATTTTTACGTAAAATCTCATGACAGATTTTGTTTCTTTTCAAATCAAAGCCAAATTAATAATGAATATCATGGCATTACACATTTGTTATTGCTTATGATAGCCGCTACCACGATGGGAATAAATTATACATCGTTATTAAACTCGATACATAAAAGTATCGAGTTTTATTTTATATTTCAAGTTTTATCTTAGAATCCTATAACACAGATATTTTGTAAATTCCGCTACAGATATCAAAAAAGAAGAAGAAAAAGAGTATTATGATGTAAAACATGGTATAAAATCAGAATGTAAAGTTGTTTTAAGAAAATTGAAGATTGAAGTAAAGACTGAAGTTTGTAACGAAGTTGTTTATCTGTCAGATGCTAATGAACACGTAATGGTAAGTAATACAAATTTTGAGATATCTTACATATTAATAGTGAAATTTTAATATTAACTTCGCATTCCGAATGGTTGAAAACATCGCTCAATATCACTAGTATAAAATTATGCTTTGAATTTAGAAGTATTCTGTATTAAATAAAAAAAATATGTCAAACTATACATATTGGGNAAAAATAACTTTTATATTATTAATCATAAAAAATAAATAAAATTGTTTGTGGCGCTATGTTTTAAAAACCGTATAATTTTTTTTTTTATAAAAGGACGAAATGCTTAGTTTTAAAGGTAGAAATGACTTTTATAAACAATTGTAGATGCTAGCAACAAATAAAATCTTCATTAAGTCTGATCCCACTCGAGATCTTTCTCTTTACCACTTGATGTTTTATTACCAAAATTTAATAGCATCAATGCATTTAATATACAATGTACGCTGCCAAATTTCGTTTCTTAATCTTCAATCTATTTTGAGATATTAAACGAAATAGACGCCAAAATACACGCCCACACACATCCACGGAATATTTTGCGGTGCCTTTTGGGTTTAAGAGATCTCAAAATTTCGAAATTTGCAAAAATCGAAGAATGAAATTTGACACTATTTCAATGCTTTCCGTTGTTATGTATACATAACTTTCGGGAAAGTAAAAAACAGGACTTTCATATTACTTTTCCGGCTGTTATGGAAAGTATGGCGATCGGTCGAAAATTAACCCTTAACATTTTCACATATTTGGACTTAGTACATCTCAAAACGTCGAAAGATGCAAAACAATCCGTGTGTTCTTCTTGTGTGTATCGATGTCAGTGTATGTATTTGTGTGTGTGGGTGGAGTACGATTATTTTCACTATGTCCGAAGTTTAATTACTTTTGTGCTTTTGGTCGAAAATTTCTGAAATTTTGCAAAAGGTTTGTTTATTGAAGAAATTGAGGCTGTTAACTTTTGGTGGTTAAAGATTGGGGGTAAGGAGATAATTGATGTCGTGTGTATCTCGTGTAGGGTCGGACTTAATGACGATTTTTCTGTTATTAGGATTTGAAATTTTTTTTATAAAACTCATTTTTACCCTCGAAATTCAGTTGTTTGCCTTTTTTCTACAATAGTTTAAAATATCGTGTTACAAGGTTCAGCAACTCGTTGCTTATTTATATATCATAAGTGATTATTAGTGGTTGTCATGCATTGTTTGTAAATTGTTTAGACTGTCAACAATCAAAGCTTGAATCCGGACGAAAACTTTAACAGGAATGAAATGAACATCCAAAGTAAGTAACACTTTACTTAGTTCAGACTTTTTATATTAGTGTTATTTATAAGGCAGCTGAAGAACTGCATTCAAGTTTCAACTGTTATACATTTATCTGGAATTAGATATTTGAGAAATATAAGTAACTTCCTACATCGTATTAATATTACTTTCGAAGATAATAAAAATATGTTGGGATGATCATGAGTTGTAATTTAATGATTCGTTTTATCTTGCTTTGATAATGGATCCGCTAAACTTTTACTATGTGGTTCCTTTTCTTTCACACTAATTATTTCTTCTTTCTCTATGGAAGCACACGATTTCTAACGTGTTTTTATGAAAACTACTGAAAAACAAAGTAAATAAATAAAATAAATAAATACAGATATAGTGGAACAATTTAATTTTTCACATTCATTTGGAAGTCTGACAAGTAAACTAAAGCTGGATCCATCAGTTAGAGCAGGGGTTCCCAATCTTTTTGTTGCGCATTCCAGAGTGCAAAAAATAATGGCGGCGTAAAACCGATTTAAAAAAAAAATTAAATATTATAACATGCATTTTGTGACATATATTTACTATAACAAATGAGGCATTTCTTGTAAATGATGAATATCGGTATACTTTACTAACTATATAAATATAGCACTTACATTTTAATATTGCAGCTATGTTATGTTTATTTAAATATAATACAGTTTTATGTTATTTTTTTAATCTTTCAGCTGAGGAGGAAGAGAAGATTCAGGAATACGATTTTCAGCGCAATTCGATAAAGCAAGAGCGTTATAAATATAATATCAAAACAAAGAAATGCGTTTCTTCCAGTAGAAAATGCAATAAAATTGATGAAAAGATTAAAAGGAAATACTTCAAGATTTTGTTTGCATCTCATTCTAAACAAAAATTTACGTGTGATTTATGTAAACAGACTTTTACAAATAAGAGCATATTACAAACACATCTGTTCTGTCATATTGGAAAAAAACCATTTCGCTGCACAACCTGCAATAAGACGTACTTGTGGCAATTTCTATTCAAAAAACACATGAAAGAACACAAAACTGGAAATCAAAAAGAAATCTCTCTTAGGAATTTACGTTTGCAGCCATCTAACGATCGAAAGAAGCCATCGCCAACAAATAGTAAAAAATCTAATATTAAGCGAAAAAACGTGTATTGCGACATTTGTGGTAAGCGCGTTCCATATGGCAAGGGCCGTTTAGAAAGACACAAGAGAATACACAGAACTCATGCCTGCAAGACGTGTGGAAAAGAATTCAAATGGAACTATATGTTGTTATGTCATGAACGAACGCATAGCGAAGACCGTCCTTTCAAATGCGATATTTGCAATAAAAGTTTTAAATGGAAAGGTCAAATGAAAAGGCATCAGGAAACTCATACTGATGGACGTAACTATTTTTGTCAGGAATGTAACAAAAGTTTTAAAACAAAACATTGTTTGATAACTCATAAAATTGTTCATAACGATAAATTCAACCATACTTGTCATATATGTAACAAACGTTTTAAACGAAGTGGTCATTTAAAACAGCATATGTGTTTACACAGCAATGAATACAAATATTCTTGTGACATATGTAACAAATATTTTAAAACAAAACTCAGTTTGACACTTCATAAAGTAGTTCATAATAATCAATTCAACCATACTTGTCATGTATGTAACAAAAGTTTTAAACGCAGTGCTGGTTTAAAACTGCATATTCGTACACACACCGATGAATACAAATATTCTTGTAATATATGTAACAAATATTTTAAAACAAAACACTATTTAAGAAACCATAAAGTAATTCATAGGGATACAAAAAAGTATGTTTGTGACATATGTAAAAAAGGTTATAACTTTACAACTGCGTTAGCCAAACATTGTCTTACTAAACATGAAAATATGTATTTATGCAGTATTTGTAAGAAGCTATTCAAAAATAAAAACACGCTAGAAGAACATTTGAAAGTACATATTGAAAAGTGTAATATTTGTAATAAAGAATTTAAAACTAAAACCACCTTAATCAATCACCAGAAAATTCATTTCGATATAAAACCGTTTCGTTGTGAGAAGTGTAATAGAGGTTTTATCAATAAACATCGATTAAAATGTCACGAAGCAACTCACAATGAAGACAATCTTCGTTACGTTTGTGAAGTATGTAACAAGGGATTTTATTTTAAAAGTCATTTAGTAGGCCATCAACTCGTTCATCAGAATCATCCGTATTTTTGCAGTCATTGTAAAAGCAGATTTAAAACAGAAAATAAACTTAAATTGCATTTAAAATTTTTTTGTTTAGAAATACACCCCAAACAATTAAATTATCAATGTAATATCTGTAAAGAAACTTACGTAAATAGATTCTTTTTGGAGCAGCATCTACTCGCTTACAACGATCAGATACACTTCTGCTGTGACGTTTGTAAGAAAAAATTTACGTCACAAGTCGAATTCCAAACTCATCATAACACTGTTCATCCGCCGGGAGGGAAGTATAAATGCAAAATTTGCAGTAGGACTTTTCGGACAAGGGCTGATTTAAGTAAACATAGGAAAAGAAATTCCGATTTAAGCGTTAAGAAATGTAATGTTTGTGGCAAAAGATTCTGTTCAAATTACTTTTTAAAGATTCACGCGCGAAGTCATCGTTCTCAATAGAGTTTTTCTTGTGAAATGCCGCGAAATAATTAACATATTTTAAAATAATTACTATATTTTAATTGTATTATCATAATAAATGTACTGTAAAATATCAATAAATGCAGAGTTTTTCTTATTTTCATTATTAATTCTTAGTATAAAGGGTATTAAAGATACTTAACTGTATGAACACAGTCTTTAGTACAAAGTGAAATAACGGTATTGTGTATGTTACCTTTGAAAAAAAAAGAAAAAATTAAATCTTTGATTAATGATTAATTTTTTCAGGATAAAAGAATTTTTGTTAATGTGTTGATTACAATTTTTATAATGTCAGTAATTCAGTAATTTTTAATTTAAATCTAACGTATAATTAAATATATTAATACTGTAATAATAAAATATTTTAATAAGTAATCTATACTACGTGTATGTTTTTTTATTGTTTTAATACAGTATTATAATAAATATATTCTTATGATCAAACGTTATTTCTTTATTTCCAGTTACAAATATCTGTGATTAAGTATAATATAAATGTAAAAGAATAAATTTAACAAAACATTTGTGAGGTCAGGTAGACACAACGCATAAAAATTTCATGGTGAAATCATTAAGATCCATAGTCCCTTATCAACATCATAATTGCTTCGCCATGTTCACTTTTCTATGAGTAACCATCTTTATTACTCTTAGCAATAACTTACGGACAATGGGTACAAAAAATCGCATTCTACAATTAGACATTCAAATCGATGTTGTACTGGTTCCAGATCGCTTACAATAACGTTCTGTTTAACGGTTCTGTAAGACTTATGTGAAAGTAACGTGTGTTGACTATTAATAATAAAATAAATAAGTAAAATGAAATAATTCGTGTAATCCGAAATTTATCAACCACTTAACATGGTTAAGGTGGGCAATCTGAATGCTAGTCTATACTAATAGGCATAAGGCGCTATCCTAATGGCTACTTAATAATCTTGTTACGGTGTTTTACGTTGTTGAAACACTTAACTAATCAATCATTTAAAAAATAGTGTTTTTGTGAAGGTGACTTTATCGTAATCTGAATATAAGTTATGTTTTTTCTAGGGAAATTCTTCTAAGAAGGTCTTTGTTACATCATATTGAACTATACATCGAGAGTGTTGGTGGTGTTAAACAACGGTCTTCTGACTGGTTTGCACGATTTGTTGATTCCTTCAAAGATATCGCGTATCTGAAGTAATATATTGAAACACTGTACAGCGATTCGTACATCTATAAAATGAAAACGCTTTATTTCATTAAAATTTTAAAAATTCTAAAATGTACTATTATGGTTTTATGTACAAATATCTAAATTGGAAATTGTGTCGAAATAATAAAATAGCCTCCACAACTAATTCCAATTTCATTTTCGCGAAATTTTTTCATAAAATTCAACGCCTGTAAACAATTTCTGAGTGTAAAAGATTTGTTGTGTTAATTCTGAAATTCAAAAACAAAATTTTGAATTTCAACTTACCTTTAAATTGAGTTCCAACGGAAGAGGAATCAAATTGAATTTTCGAATTTCTTGAAAAGAATCGTAAGCCTGTTGTTACAGGATAAAGTTAAATTAGTTAATAGTTAGTTACTTTAACAAGATTGGCAAAGCATGAGATAAGGCATTAAAAGATTTTATTTGTATTAAACTGATTAAAGATGATAAAGGAGTGGTATAACATGATTACGAAAGAGTCAAGGAAAGATGGAAAGAATATTTTAGGAATTTATTGAATGAACAAAANATAAGTAATCTATACTACGTGTATGTTTTTTTATTGTTTTAATACAGTATTATAATAAATATATTCTTATGATCAAACGTTATTTCTTTATTTCCAGTTACAAATATCTGTGATTAAGTATAATATAAATGTAAAAGAATAAATTTAACAAAACATTTGTGAGGTCAGGTAGACACAACGCATAAAAATTTCATGGTGAAATCATTAAGATCCATAGTCCCTTATCAACATCATAATTGCTTCGCCATGTTCACTTTTCTATGAGTAACCATCTTTATTACTCTTAGCAATAACTTACGGACAATGGGTACAAAAAATCGCATTCTACAATTAGACATTCAAATCGATGTTGTACTGGTTCCAGATCGCTTACAATAACGTTCTGTTTAACGGTTCTGTAAGACTTATGTGAAAGTAACGTGTGTTGACTATTAATAATAAAATAAATAAGTAAAATGAAATAATTCGTGTAATCCGAAATTTATCAACCACTTAACATGGTTAAGGTGGGCAATCTGAATGCTAGTCTATACTAATAGGCATAAGGCGCTATCCTAATGGCTACTTAATAATCTTGTTACGGTGTTTTANGAGAACAAACTATAGGAGTGGAAGAAAGTATTGGAAGAATGGGCATGAGGATTAGCAGAACTAAAACAGTTTATATGACTCTGAATGACAGGGACGAGAGCAATATTAAAATCCAAAATGTTTCGTTTACTGTGGTTTCGAGTTTTAAGTATCTTGGGGAATACTAATAGGCATAAGGCGCTATCCTAATGGCTACTTAATAATCTTGTTACGGTGTTTTACGTTGTTGAAACACTTAACTAATCAATCATTTAAAAAATAGTGTTTTTGTGAAGGTGACTTTATCGTAATCTGAATATAAGTTATGTTTTTTCTAGGGAAATTCTTCTAAGAAGGTCTTTGTTACATCATATTGAACTATACATCGAGAGTGTTGGTGGTGTTAAACAACGGTCTTCTGACTGGTTTGCACGATTTGTTGATTCCTTCAAAGATATCGCGTATCTGAAGTAATATATTGAAACACTGTACAGCGATTCGTACATCTATAAAATGAAAACGCTTTATTTCATTAAAATTTTAAAAATTCTAAAATGTACTATTATGGTTTTATGTACAAATACCTAAATTGGAAATTGTGTCGAAATAATAAAATAGCCTCCACAACTAATTCCAATTTCATTTTCGCGAAATTTTTTCATAAAATTCAACGCCTGTAAACAATTTCTGAGTGTAAAAGATTTGTTGTGTTAATTCTGAAATTCAAAAACAAAATTTTGAATTTCAACTTACCTTTAAATTGAGTTCCAACGGAAGAGGAATCAAATTGAATTTTCGAATTTCTTGAAAAGAATCGTAAGCCTGTTGTTACAGGATAAAGTTAAATTAGTTAATAGTTAGTTACTTTAACAAGATTGGCAAAGCATGAGATAAGGCATTAAAAGATTTTATTTGTATTAAACTGATTAAAGATGATAAAGGAGTGGTATAACATGATTACGAAAGAGTCAAGGAAAGATGGAAAGAATATTTTAGGAATTTATTGAATGAACAAAACCCCGGAGCTTTATACGAGGATGGAGAGGCAAATGAACATGTGGTGCACAGAAGAAGTGGAAAAGGTAGTAAGGGAAATGAAGATGGGGAAAGCAGTAGGCACTGTTCAAATTCCGGTTGAGACTTAGAGAGGTTTGAATAAGGAGGGGATTGATATCCTCTGGGATGTTAGGAAGAAACTCTGGCAGCAAAAGAAGATTTCAGATGAATGGAGGAAATGTATTTTTGTGCCACTCTTTAAAGAAAGATGCACAAATGAGTCGTGGTAGAATGACGTGACTTTTTCGCCACAGAAGTCGATTTTGTGGTGCCGCAAAATTTGGTTGAATTCTCTCTTTTGCGGTGGCTGCTTCCCAGACGCATTTCTATCAGCTAATAACAGTTCGCCTGGTAGTCACATGAGAAAATAGAATCACGTGGTGTTTTAAAGGCAAAAAGTTCAACCCGGTTAACCGAGATTACTGAGATTAGAGTAAAGAGGAAAGAATAATATATTCAACGCAAATTCTACACAAATAATCATATATAATTTAATTGAAAGGAAAAACAAAGGAATCTTACTCGAAATAGTATTTTTTATCGAGAGATCTTGATCGAGGAATAAGCGTATTTTGTGGACTAGTTCTCTCTCGGCCCAAGAAGATATCTCTAACTCAAAAATTTTTACGAATCTTCGATAAAATCTAGCTAAATTAAGAAAGCTGTACAAAACAAGATTTGTAAATAACGGCAGTGTCGGTATCGTTCGCCATCTTGAATACTGTACGCATGCGCCGAAATCTAAGCAGGTTGCCGCTTGTGTGGTTGAGCTGCCGCGCGGCGAGGAGGTGTTTACGACAACGCTTCTCGTTGCTTCGCCTCATGTGTACTGTACATCTATCCTAAAGATAAAAGGGATGTACAGGATTGTGGAAACTACAGAGATATAAACTTATTGTCCCATACTATAAAGATTTAGGAGAAAACTGTCGAAAGAAGGATTAGACAGGAATCTGAACTTGGAGAAAAACAGTTTAGCTTTATGCCGGGAAGAGTTGATTTCACTGATTTGATAAATACTATCTTTGCTTTGAAACAGGTGAAGGAAAGACACGGAGAAACGTAAGATTTGCACATGATGTTCGTAGATATGTAAAAGGCGTATGATGAGTACCAAGGCAAGAGATATGGATATATTTGAGGGAAAAGGATATTCCAGAAAATATGTTAGGCTCGCGAAGGAAATGTACGAAGGAGCTGAAACTCAAGTTGAGAGTAGTGTGGGCACTACAGAAGGGTTCTCCGTTAATGTTGGTTTGCATCAGGAATCGGCCTTAAGCCTTTATCTGTTTGTCCTGATAATGAACTTGTTGGTTTGTGACATGAAGTGTGTTGCTCCGTGAAGTATACTGTTTGCGAATGATATTGTGCTGTGTGAACCTTCTTAAACCAAGGCCGAGAACAAACTATAGGAGTGGAAGAAAGTATTGGAAGAATGGGCATGAGGATTAGCAGAACTAAAACAGTTTATATGACTCTGAATGACAGGGACGAGAGCAATATTAAAATCCAAAATGTTTCGTTTACTGTGGTTTCGAGTTTTAAGTATCTTGGGGATTTATCGAGATAGGGGGAAGATTAAACTCGGAAGTGTAACATAGAATTCAATGTGGATGGGTGAACTGGAAGAGACTGAGCGGTGTGTTACGTGACAAGAAAGTTAGCTGCAAGCCGAAAGATAAATTGTACTGTTGTTAGACTTGCAATGTTGTCGGGGCTGACACGTGGGTAATCACAAGAGCCCAAGAAAGAAAAATAGAAGTGGCGGAGATGACAATGTTGAGATGAATGTGTGGAGTGTGGAGGAAGAATAGAATATAGAACGAGTTTATTAGAGGTTCTGTTAAGGTGTGTTTTCCTTGAGCAGGAAGATGGAAGAATGCAGATTGAGATGGTTTGGCCACGAAGAGAGTAAGTAGTGAAGATTATGTGGGAAAGGGGGACGAGGAACTGATATTAAAAGGAAAAGGAAGTGAGAAAGATCAAAGCTGCGTTGGAAAGATAAGGTGGAAGAAGACTTGAATCAGAGAAAAATTAAGACAGAAGACGCCCTTGATAGGAAGAAATGTTGGATACGTTTTAATTAAAGAAGGAAACGCAGATCCCATATAAACGTGGGAAAAGGCGAAGTTAAAGAAAAAAAGAAGTAGAAGATTAATTACTTTTACACATAAATTAATATTTAAAAAGTATTTTTCTTTTCAGTTTTCGAACTTACCGATGTGAAGATACGAGAAACCACAAATGAAACTGATACCACCAAGTATATGCTGAGGACAGAGCAGAGTACAAGAAGAATTCGTATATATGTAGCTGATGTTGTGAATATTGCGTTATAGAAAGAAAAAGATATGATGTAAGCGACAATCCCGTATATAAGAAAGCAACTATTACCCCAAATATCGTTAATCTGTTCAGTTATTTCGCAGATTTCCAAGTGTTTTCGCATTATATCCTTAATTTCATATTCTGCATTTTGTCTTACAGCTAAAGCCAACTGCCTCGATACAGCGTTGAACCGTTCGTACTGTATTGCGCCTATTAACACCGTTGCATTAACGATCCACATTAATACCCCAAATTCATAAATCATAACGTATTGAATGCACACAGAACAGACCAGAGCCCGTAACCATGTTGATTCCTGTTCTACTGTCTTAAATACGTAATAGGAATAAACGACTGAACCGATTATTGTATAAAAGAAAGCCCACCAAGACAGAAAATTCGTTTCTAGCTGCCATTTTTGCATTTTTTCTTTTTCTCCAACATACCCTGAAATATCTAAATTTATATGTAATTTATTTTTTTTGCCTGTATGGAGTAATGAAAGAGTGCCAAAGTTTGCCAGATAAACCATGCTTATTAGGAAAGGGCTGTTTAATCCGCTTCCTACTAATTTTTCTGCTGGACTACAAAAAATTGGATTATCGTCTGTTGAAAATCTCTGCATTGATAACGTAGTCAATTGCGTAATAAATAGTAAACGCAGAAATTTTCCGTATATTGAAGACCATTTTTTGTATTTCTTGCTAAGCCGTTGGTGTTTGCAACGCGCGTAAAATATATCGCCGAAAAGTATGGAGAGGTTTAACGTTGGGCATAGCATACAGTAAACGCAACTATCAGCCATTTAACCTAGTAATCTGTGTATGGCACAGTGATGGCAAGTGGTGGCATTAATAGTGTTCAGTTTGATTATATGTGGTTAAGATATAGAATCGTTAACATTCATTTTATATGGATTTCTTTGGAATCTACTTTGGAATTAGTTTCATCCATTTTCTAAATTATTTATTGCATTCTCTGCTGTTATGTGACATTTATATTACTATCCATCATATTTATTTTTATTGACTTTATGAGATTATAATGTAACGAAAATAACTCAATACTTTTAAACATTACAATTATATAACTATAATC